GAGCCTTTTGAGCACGGCTTCTGTCACTTGGCTTCCTATCACTTGGCATTATGTATTCATCCATGCTTATATGTATCAGTAGTTTGTTCCTCTTAATCGTTCAAGAACTACAATATGGGGGAGAATCCAAGATGGCAGCATAAGTAACACCTAACTGCAGCCTCACACAACAATTTCAATAAAATACAACTAAAATACAAAATGGACATTACCCAGAACTACAGGAAAGTCGACTGACTAGAAATTCTAAATCGAGAAGGAAAGAGAAAACCAGAAGGAAAATCAGAGGAGCTGTAAACGCCCAAGGTATGGAGATAGGTTGTGCGCATGGAGAGGACAGAGCCGGAGAGGAGGGGAAGGCTGAGTGCCTGGCTGCGCCCCCTAGCAGGAAGGAGATAAAAGCTCCGATCTGTGCTGAACCCCAGATCCGACAGCACTGAACCCAGTTGTAGGCCAGACCCTGGGGACCCAGGCTCATACAGAGGGAGCCTGGGCTGTAAGGCGGAAACCCAGGGGAGTGGTGAAAGGAAGTCCTGGAGGCGCGCACATTGCTGCTGAATTGCCCTAGCGGGAAGGAGACAAAAGCTCCAGACTGTTCTGAACCCCGCTTCCAACCCCACTTCCAACTGAACTGAACCCCAGTTCCGGGTTCATTGGGGGAGAGCCTAGACTGTTTGGTAGCAGGCGAAACTCGAGGGCACCTTTTTCTCAGAGGTGCTTGCAACGAGTACCAAAGGACCCTGAGGAACACTAAGACTCAGGAGCCTCCTAGGGCATGGCTGATGGAAGCCAAGGCTGTAGGCTCCACCCTGAAACTCTGCCCCATCCAAGCTGAACACAGAGACTTTTAAGGCTACCAACTCAGGGAAGCTGCAAAAATGCCGAGACAAGGAAACAGATCACAAACAAAAGAAATGGAGGACAAAAAGCAACTGGATATAGAGTTCAAAACCATGCTTATAAGGTTTTTCAAGAATTTCCTAGAAAAGGCCGATAAGACCTATGAGGATATGAAAAGGGATCAACTAGAAATAATAAGGGATCAACAAGAAATAAAGAAAACATTCTCTGAAATAAAAAATATTATACAGAGTCCTTATCAGCTGAGTCCGAGGGCACTGGCAGAATCCTCTTATCAGTACTGATTTCTTAATCCATGTGCTTGGAATGAGGAACAAATAGGACCTTGACTCACCCAGGTCTCAATATGCTAAATCTTGTACCAAAAAATAAGGAGCTTACCCATATTTTGATGAATAGGATCTGGGCACACCCAAAACTCCTTTTGACCTTAAACTCCCCTTTGGAAGCCAATTAAAATAATAATAATAATAATAATAATAATAATAAAACAGCAAGGGAATTAAAAAATCTGATGAACAATATTAACTGTTGAATCAGAGGTATGGAAGGGGAGTGGACTGATGATTCTCAGGGAAAAGAGGAGTGGGGGGTGCGGGAAGAGACTGAACATAAACTGTGCACCTATGGATGAGGACAAAGGGGGGTGGGGAAAGGGCAGAGGGTGGGGTAGGAACCTGGTGGAGGGGGGGAAAATGAGGAACTTTTGTAATAATTGAATAATAAGGGTTTATTAAAATGAATGAATGAATTAATTAATTAATTAAAACAGAAAAAAAATATATTATACAGAGTCCTAAAAACAGAATGGAAGATCACAAGAATCAAGTCAAAGATTTGGAACATAAAAAGCCAGAAGATACTCCTCTGCAGAAGCAAGAAGACAAGAGAATCCAAAAAGTTGAAGATAATGTAAGAAACCTCTGGGACAGCTTCAAGCGAACCAACATAAAAATTATGGGGGTCCCAGAAGAAGAGAGAGAGCAAGATACCGAAAACATACTGAAATAGTGACAGGAAACTTCTCCTACCTGGTGAAAGAATTAGACCTACAAGTCCAGGAAGCACACAACCCCAAACAAAAGGAATCCAAAGAGGACCACACCAAGACACATCATAATTAAAATTCCAACAGCAAAAGACAAAGAAAGAATATTAAAAGCAGGAAGAAAGAAACAGGTAGTTACCTATAAAAGAGCACCTATATGAATGTCAGCTGATTTCTCAACAGAAACCATGCAGGCCAGACAGGAATGGCAAGAAATATTCAAGGTGATGAATAGCAAGAATCTACAGCTAAAAATAATCTACCCAGCAAAGCTATCACTCAGAATCAAAGGCCAGATAAAGAGCTTCACAAATAAAAAAAAGCTAAAGGAGTTCATCATCGCCAAATCAGAATTATATGAATTGCTGAAGGGGGTTCTTTCGGAAGAGAAAAAAAATAAAGATAAAAATTATAAACAACAAATACATAACTATCAACAAGTGAATCTAAAAACCAAGGGAATTAAAAAACCTGATGTACAATATTAACTGTTGAATATAATAGAATCAGAGGTATGGAAGGGGAGTGGACTGATGATTCTCAGGGAAAAGAGGAGTGGGGGGTGCGGGAAGAGACTGAACATAAACTGTGCACCTATGGATGAGGACAATGGGGGGTGGGGAAAGGGCAGAGGGTGGGGTAGGAACCTGGTGGAGGGGGGAAAAATGAGGAACTTTTGTAATAATATGAACAATAAAGGATTATTAAAAAAAAAAAAAAAAAGATGTCCAAGACCTAAGAACAAAAAAAACAAAAAGAACTACAATATGCTTGTACATTCTCCAGTTGAAGGATATTTGGATTATTTCAGTTTGAGACCACTATGAATAGAGCTGCTACAAATATTCACATACAGGTTTTTGTGTTAACAAAAATTTTCATTTCTCTCGAACAACTGCTTCAAAATGCAATTGCTGGATTGTGTGGTGAGTGCATGTTAGTGCTAACACAAACTGCCAAGGAGTTTTTCAGTCACTGTACAATTTTGCATTTCCACCGGCAGCAAGGTATGAGCGTTCCCAGGTATCCCACAATCTCACCAGCACTTGGTACTGTCCAGTGTTGTTTTGTTTTGTTTTATTCATCCTAATAAGTGGAGCAGTACCTCATTGTGGTTTAATTTGTATTTCCCTCATGACTTACGATGAGCATCTTTTCATGTGCTTTATTTACTATCCATATATCTTCTTTGGTGGAGTATCTGGTCAAGTCTCTTGCCCATTTTTTATTAGGTTGTTTGTTTTCATATTACTGAGTTTTCAGAAATCTCTATATATTCTATATGTAGGTCCTCTTTTGGTAGTATTTTCTCCCCAATTGCAGCTTGTCTCTTCATTTTCTTTTTCTTTTTTTTTAAATATATTTTAATGATTTTGTACAGAGAGGAAGGGAGAGAGATAGAGAGTTAGAAACATCGATGAGAGAGAGTCATCGATCAGCTGCCTCTTGCACACCCCCTACTGGGGATATGCCCGCAGCCAAGGTACATGCCCTTGACCGGAATCGAACCCGGGACCCTCCAATCCCCAAGCCGACGCTCTATCCATTGAGCCACACCGGTCTTGGCTCTTCATTTTCTTAACAGTAACTTTTAAACAGCAGATGTTTTTAATTTGATGAAGTTCAATTTATCATTTTTTAACGGATCATGCTTTTTGTGTTTTATATAAAAAAAAATCTTTACCTACTCCAAGATCACCAAGATTTTCCCCTATTTCTCCTAGAAGTTTTATAGTTTTAGGTTTTGCATTTGGACCTGCTGTCTGTCCCTGTTCCACATTAAATAAATGTAAGCAAAGGCATTGCTTCTTCTTCTCACCACCAAGCATAGTGGTGAGCGAGTGTGGGGTGGAACCCTGTAGTCAGCACTAACCACAGGGAGACAGCATCCTCCTCCCCTTCCAACTAGACAGTTGGGAGAGGATTATGAAAAAGAGGGAGGCAGAAGAAAGAGACCTTTTACATCTAAGCATCAAGTTCCAGGCTCATCTCTGAGTGGCCCAAGCATCAAAACTGGCCCAGAGTCAACACAGCAATGGCTTTGAGAACTGGGCTGCAGTGTGGAATACCACCCAGGTTTCAGACTAGCCTCTCGGCCATGCACAGTGGGGCAGTCCAGAACAGCATTGCTAAGGTTCAAAAGGTAAATTAACATTCAAACCACAGCCTACAGAAGTGGGCCAGGATGTGTGTTCTAAATCTAAATGGGTTGACTGCCTGCTAAAATAGAAGACTTAAAGAGGAACCAAAGTCTCATAACATACCACACAGAATTTCTAAGCCATAACCCAAAATTACTTGGCACAGCAAGAACCAGGAAAATCTCATCTTGCATGAGAAAATAAAGCAACAGATATTAATGCCCAAAGACAGAAGTGTTGGAACTATCTGGCAAAGATTTTAAAGGAACTATCATACATATTTTAAAAGCAATTATGAACACTCTTGAAACAAATGGGAAACTAGACTATCTCAGCAAGAAATAAAAGACATAAAAAAGAATGAAATGACAGTTTAGAATTGAAAAATATGATATCCAAAATAAAAATACTCACTGAATGGGTCAATAGCAAAGTGGAGATTACAGTGGAAGGAGTCAGTAAACTTGAAGATAAATCAATACAAATTATCCAGTCTGAGCAACAGAGAGAAAATAGATTGGAAAAAAAATGAACACAGCCTCATGGGCTTGTAGGAAAATAACAAAAGATCTAACACTCATGCCACTGAAGACCTAAAAAAGTGAAGAAAGTGTAGGTTCTAAGAAATATTTGAATAAATAATGTCTGAAAACTCTCCTAAATTGCTGAAAGACAAAACGAACAAGACCTTACAGATTCAAGTAGCTGAGTGAATCCCATAAATTAGGAACTGCAAGAAATCCCCACCAAGACACATCATAATCAAACCGCTGAAAATGAAAGACAAAGAAAAAAAAAAAATGCAGAGTTAAACATAACATACATGAACCATGATACTGAATTCTTACACTGCAACTCTATGGATATTAAATAATAGAATTATACATGGTTTTATTTTTATATAAACATTTAATGATAATTTATATTGTATATAACATATATTAATTATAGATATTTCATATTTTATAAAAACAGTAATCTCCAAAAATTGAACTTCTCAGCTTCTCCCTTGCCCAATTCTATTTCTCTGACTTATGCAAGACTCATTCTATATTACAGGTATTTTCCCTCATTAAACCACCTGTGTGCACATCTCTGTCTTGGAGAGTATTTCCAGGGAGCCTGACCTACACATGCGCCCAATGACATAGTGGCAAAAAGAAGCATTGTCCTCTGTCTCCTCTTTTCAGATGGTGATGTGGTGAAACAAGCAAATGGTAAGCTGGCTTGCAGATATGTTAAATGTACTCTCATTTTATAGCTTAATCTAAGTAGCTTTGATTTTTAAAAATATATTTTTATTGATTTCAGAGAGAAAGGGAGAAGGAGAGATAGAAACATCAATGATGAGAGAGAATCGATCGGCTACCTCCTGCACTCCCCTGACTGGGAATCGAGCCTGTAACCCAGGCATGTGCCCTGATAGGAAACCAACTGTGACTTCCTGGTTCTCCATGCTCAACCACAGAGCCACCTCGGGCGGGCATGATTTTTAATTGTAGATTTTTTAAATACATAATGTGGTCTTAATTTGTATTCTTGCCCCTGGTGCCACAAATATTTGGAGTGGGCCTGCTGCCTGCTCTTCCCTCTTTATTTCCTTTGTACGCTGTAGTTTCTGTTTTACGGGAACACTATTGGTTTCGTAAGATGATCTTGTAACTGGCAAACAGGTTGAACTACTTTAATTATTTCTATTACTTTGCCTGATGATGCTATTGAGTTGTGTGTGTTTTTAATGAGGATAATTATAATTCTTGCAATAATAACTATTTGATTTTCCCCTTCAATCTTCATGCTTCTTATGCTTTGTTCCTGTCTGATGGTGTGGGTAAATTCTGCAGTATGTTAAAGCATTAGTGGTATGCTTGCCATATTATGATCTTCCTGAAGATGTATCCAAAATTTCTTTAGTAAGTATGACTTCTGTTATAGGGTTTTTGGTATACTGACTTTTTTTGGTAAAAAGATGTTTCTTTCTTTTTTTTTCTTCTAGTTTCTGAGTGTTATTCTTATAAATAGGTGTTAAACCTTAACAACATTCTTTGCTCAGATAGTCTGGTTTTCCTTCTTTAGACCGTTAAAATGGTAAATTACAGTAATCAGTTTTTAAAATGTGGAACCATCCCTTTATATTTTTGGCTGGGATATATAACTTTGTATATATTAATGGCATGTAAAATTTGTTTAGCTGATGTTGTATTTAGGATTTTGTATCTATGACAAGTGAAATGAAATTACTATTGCCTGAGCAAGGTTTCACTAGCTTCCTACAATGTGTGGAAATACATGAAGACCAACCAAATGTGAACAAGCAAAGGCTAATAATTCAGAGCCTCCCAGAGCAAGAAAGTCAGCTGCCATCACTTGAGTTTGGCAGAGACTCAAAAGCAGGCAGAGGAGAGGAAAAGCTTGACAGTGGAACAAAAAGAAAAGCTTCAAGCATGCCTCAATTGGTTGCTGTTGGCATGGAGAAGGTGTAGGTGGGCTAACTAGATACAGGGCATCCTGTACGATTGGTTAGTGATGCGCATTTGGCTTGGTCCTAAGTTGGACCCACACTGGTCCTAGATTGGATTTCAAGACTGGTTAGTCCTAAGTTGGAAATGGGAACAAAATTATGGAAGTTGTCAATTATTAATCAATTTATTTGTATAAAGATATATATTGTGACTGTTACATAGCTATAAAAGAAAAAAGTGCATAAAAGTAAGTAATGTGACTTCTACTTCCATGTATGATGGAACCGCCTACAGCAGAAGATACAATATATATATTTTTAATTTTTAAAAAAGCATCAGAGGGCTGAATGAAGCCAGGGGGTTAGAAAGAATCTGAGTCTGGAGAAGGGAGCAACACCGAGAGCTCAGCTGCTCACTGGAGGACACTTCTGGCTCCTCATCCTGCAAGCTGTGGAGGAACAGGCACTTCCTCAGAGGACCTACCTAAAGCATGCTCCTCCTTTATTCTCTGTCACAGCTGTCTTCATGGCACGTCTCATTCCATTTGTAATTAAATGTTGGTTTAATAGTGGTTTTTACCTGTCTCTACCTTTATTTTATTTTAAATATATTTTTATTGATTTCAGAGAGGAAGGAAGAGGGGGAAAGGGATAGAAACATCCATGATGGGCGAGAATCATGGATCAGCTGCCTCCTGCAAGTCTCCCACTGGGGATGTGCCCATAATCCAAGCATGTGCCCTTGATTGGAATCAAACCTGGGACCTTTCAGTTTGCAGGCTGGTGCTCTATCCACTGAGCCAAACAGGCCAGGGCCTGTCTCTACCTTGCAGACAGAAAGAATTTAACTGTTCATTTTTATACTTTTACTTCCATCACCATGCCTGGTACACAGCAATATTGAATTTAATTAGTTGAATTGAATTGAAACAGTGACTGCTTTCTGCTCGTCTAGGCTTCCAGGATTCCAGAGACACGCCTCCCCTCCCCCCTCCAGACCCTAGAACTGCATTCTCTGAATCCCAATCTAATACCTCTAGCACTTGGAAATGGGCGGGGTTGACAGCCTTATCTTCAACCCTCTAAACTTCCAGACCACACCCAAGCCAACACCCTAGAGCCCTAGGCCCTTCTCTGCCTAACCACTGAAAGTCCTGAGGCTCTAACAAAAAAAGTCTGAGAATTACTCTGAGACCCTGTCAAGCATCCAGTTTCTGTTTAACTCAACTCATTTTGCAATCTCTCCAAAGCCCTGAAGGCTTCTCAAGTCCACCTGCTCTCAAACACCTTCCTCAAAAATCTAAATCCAGACTTGTCTCTTTACCTGACCTCTGGGCCTGACCTCCCCATTCTCACTAGGCCCTGGGCTTCTAGCCCATCTAGGGATTCCACAAAGTCCTTACCCTAAGGGATCCTATCCCTCACAACTGAAGGAAAAAACTTCATGATACCTACTTAAATCCTCAACTTCAGGGTACATTAGAAATATGTTTGAAAAGCTGTTTGAAAAAATAATGGCAAAATTGTTCTAACCTGGTAAAAAAAAAAAACACATGTAAATCCAGGAAGCACAGAGCCAATTGGCCTGGGTCAATTCCTCCCAGTGATACCAACAATAATCAAGGCTTACCTACAACAAGACTGTGCACACAGCCCACAAAGGGATGCACCAAGAGTGTCCACTTCAGGTGATTGGGAGGCTGAGCCACTGGACCTGATAGATCACCTACCACACAAAGCCACTCCATCAACACAGGGAAGCAGCCAAAATGAAAAGAGAAAGAAACATGTCACCAAGGAAAGGAATGGAGGAAAGCAAACTACTGGATATAGAGTTCAGAACCACAGCTTTAAGGTTACTCAAGAATCTTCGAGAAACTTAGTGAGACCTCTGAGGAACTTAGTGAGACCTTCAAGGATCTTAATGAGAATGAAAAAAAAAAAAAAAAAAGGAAAAGAACCAGTCAGAAATTAAGCATATACTGTCTGAAATAAAAATAAAATAAAATAAAATAAAAATTATATACAGAAATCCAACAGTAGACTAGAGGACCCCAAGAATCAAACCAAAGATTTGAAATATGAGGAAGCAAAAAACACCCAAACAAAAAACAAAAAGAAAAAAAGAATTAAAAAATATGAAGATAGTGTAAGGAGCCTCTGGGACAATTTCAAGCGTACCAACATCTGAATTATAGGGGTGCTAGAAGAAGACAGAGAGCAAAATATTGAAAACCTATTAGAAGAAATAATGACAAAAAACTTTCTCTACCTAATGAAAGAAATAGACTTAAAAGTCCAGGAAGCACAGAGAACCCCAGACAAAAGGAATCCAAAGAGGACCACACCAAGACACATCATAATTAAAATGCCAATAGCAAAAGACAAAGAAAGAATCTTGAAAGCAGCAAGAGAAAAACAGTTACCTACAAGGGAGTACCCATACGATTGTCAGCTGATTTCTCAACAGAAACAATGTAGGCCAGAACAGAATGGCAAGAAATATTCAAAGTGATGAATAGCAAGACCTACAACCAGGATTACTCTACCCAGCAAAGCTATCATTCAGAATTGAAGGAAGGATAAAGAACTTCAAAGATAAGAAAAAGCTAAAGGAGTTCATCACCACCAACCCAGGATTACATGAAATGCTGAAGGGTGTTCTTTAAGAAAAGGAAGAAGAAAAAGGTAAAGATAAAAATTATGAACAACAAAGTGACAACAAATACATATTTATCAACAAGTGAATCTAAAAATCAAGTCAATAAAAAAGGTGATGAACAGAATAAACTGCTGAATATAATAGAATCAGAGGCATAGAAAAGGAATGGACTGACAATTCTTGGGGGTGAAGGGAGCATGAGGATGCTAGAAGAGATTGGAAAAAATCTTACATCTATGGATGAGGGCAGTGGTGGGGATGGGGGGGAGGGTAATGGCATGGAGTGGGGGAGGGAAACAGGTGGAGAGGGGCAGTCCGGGGGGGAAAGAGGAACATCTGTAATAATCTGAACAATAAAGATTTATTTTAAAAAATACATTAAAAAGAACAAAACAAAAAAAAGATAAAAATATGAACAATAAAATGGCAATAAGTACTCATCAACAATTGAATCTAAAAAAACAAAATAAACAAATGAGCAGAACAGAAACAGACTCATAGATACAGAGAACATTTGGCAGTTGCCAGATGGGAGGGAGGCTGAGGGTATGGGTGAAAAAGGTAAAGGGATTAAGAAGTACAAATTGGTTATTACAGATTGGTCATGGGATGTAAAGTTCAGCATAGGCAGTATAATCAATAATATTCTAATAACTATGTATGGTGTCATATGGGTAATAAGTTTACCATGATGATCACTTAGTAAGTTTTATAATGTCTAATCACTGAGGTGTACACCTGAAACTAATATATATTGTAAGTGAACTGTATTTGAAAAACAAAAAATAATTAGGGGGGGGGGGGAGAGAGAGAGAGAGAGAGAGAGAGAGAGAGAGAGAGAGAGAGAGAGAGAGAAAGAAGAAGAAGAAGAAGAAGAAGAAGAAGAAGAAGAAGAAGAAGAAGAAGGAGGAGGAGGAGGAGGAGGAGGAGGAGGAGGAGGAGGAGGAGGAGGAGAAGAAGGAGAAGAAGAGAGACAGAGATTTGTAAGTGGGGCTTGATGTTCTCAAAACTTCATTCTTGTGCATTTTAAGTTCCCCTTTCTTTTCCTTTACAAGTATAAAAGCCATTACTGAAGCCAGGGAAACAGTTCTAGTCCCAGGCCTGTTGCTGTGTGATCTTGGACCACCTGTTTTCTGATAAGACCCTAAGTCACTGGCTTTGGGTTTGGGTCCTATGGTATTCCTAGTAGGGAATTTTGTTTCCCCTGAGCACTTAGAGGCAGTCAGGTTCACAGATTCGACACATGAAGCCCATACTTACATGAGACCAGAGTATAAGCTCCATGCCACATAATTACATTGCAATGACAGGCATGCCTAAACTGGGTCCTATCCACCCAAGATCAAGTGACCAAAGAACCCAGACCACTCACTCATGAGAAGACTGTTTTCGTGCCTGCAGAAGAACTATTGCTATGTGGTAAGGGCAGGGCCTAGCTCCAGATCACCCTTCCTTCCTCCTAACTACGTAGCTGTATATGACGATCCACCTTGAAAAAATTACTTAACCTCTCAGGGCCTCAAATTTTGAAGTTGTTGTGGGGATAATATAATACATCCATGCCAGGGGTGTCGAATGCTTAGAACAACCTTGGGCACAAAGGAAGCGTCACTGTGAGTATTAATGCGACAAAATCCCCAGGTATGGAGAGGCCAAATTTTCTCCAGCTCAGGCAGCTCACACTCTGACTGGAACTGGGCCCTCCTGGGGACCAATAAACACCAAGGGAGTGGGCTCAAATGCCCCCTTTTCCAGGACTCCCTCCTGGCCACACAGTTTTATTGTCACATCCAGGCTTTGAACACTCAGATTAACTCAGCTGATTAGGCGAGCCTTTCTTTGTTTACATTTAGTCCCAGACTATACTTTGAGGCACCTGGCGGGCAGGACCTGGGGTTTGTTTTATTTTAAATCCCCACAATTAGCATGGTGCCTGTAGGGTATTCTATAAAAGCTTCCACAAATGCATGAGTTTCATTTGTTTGTGTTCCCAGTTGCCTTAGGAGCAATCTACAGCACATTTTGTGGGTGGGTTACACCTGCCGATAGCCCATCTCATCAACTACTTTCCCCCAAGTTTCTCAGTGACTGACATTTCCCTGATCTCCTTCTAGAATCTGGAAGCAATTTTCTAAAGCCAACCGCTGAGAGAAGGCCCTTGCCAAGAGGGGTGTGTATTCTGGTGTGTGTGTGTGTGTGTGTGTGTGTGTGTGTGTGTGTGTTGGGGGGGGGGATGTTTTTCCTTTCCTCAAACCCTAATCAACTGCTTCTAGTTTTTCAAGAATAAATGTCTCTTCCTTCTTCTTTCCTTTTTATTTAACAGTCTACTTCAAACTTCAATCTAGAAATGGAAAGTTTAAGCAAAACATGGTAGATGTCTTTAGTTAAGGCCCCCAAGGAGGTAAGGAAGCTCAAGAAATTGTCCCCATGGAGTCGGGAGCAGAGAGAGTCCTTAGCCTTCAAGGTGCTCAGTCCCGGCACAGGGGCTCCTCTTGGTTGGCAGATTGGCGAGCTCCTGAGGGGGACGCCCAACATCCTCCTGCTCTAGATCCAGACCAGGGGCCAGTTGGAAGAGCTTGTGAATTGAGTTAAGTTGGAATTTCCAATGAATGAAATAAAGTCACTATAGCTTGGCTCATAGAAAGGGGCTCCATCAATGTTTCTTCAAGTAAAGCAGGTAAATGAAAGGCAGTGAGGCACAATGATGTGGTGTTCAGAATTTGGGATTCAGAGTCAAGTAAGCCTGCGATCAAATCCAGCTCTGCTTGCTTCTTTCAGAGTGCCGGAAGCCTGCTTCACAGGATTGTCAGGAGAACGGCAGTAAGCCTTACATGTGAAGTCTGTGTTAGAAAATGCATATAGAAAGAATAAAACAGCCAAAACCGAAGACAGAAGGAAGGCCAAAAGGC